GTCCAAGATGGACTACGGTGATCTTGTTTTTAACCCTCTCCCCGACTACCTTTTAAGTAGGCTGCAAAAGATCCAGTTTTCGGCAGCTAGTTTTGTTACCGGTAAATATGTGAACTCTGCGGAAACTCTATTAAAGCTTAACTGGCTGCCGATGCGTGAACGTAGAGATTTCAACCTACTCAAAGCCACCCATAAAGCAATTTATTCACAGAACTGGCCGAAGTATGCTGCAGTTGAACTGTATAAACCAGCTCGCCGCCTACGCTCGAGTACCAGCTTAAATTTGGTTAGGCCCATGGAAAAGGGTACTTTCCAAGACATTTCATCCGAACTGTTCAATAGCCTACCATCTGACATTATATCTATATACGACTACAGTCAATTCTGTACAAAAGTTAGGGCTGTACTAAAGTCTCGTATAATGTAAATATGCACTAACATTTTTATCTAAATATTCATTTTCTATATTACCTAAGTTTGTATATATATTTACATTTAGCTAAAACATTTTGTATGTAGTTTCAATAGGGGAAGAGCAACCTCGTGGATCTTATTGATTAAATCATTATTATTATTATTATTATTATTATTATTATTATTATTATTATTATTATTATAAGGTCATGATAAGCCGTTGCTTAAAATAACACAACAATCCATGATTTACCGTAATTAAACAAGTTAAAATAAATCACTACCAGTATCTTACAACAATTCAAAACCATGGCAAGTGTTCTTTGAAGAATTAAAGTCGTAATAAGCTTAAACAACGGCATAATTCATGTTTGACGGCAGTAAGGTCTATTTATAAATGTCGAGCGGAGTACTGAATCCAAATGTACTAATTTTCGTGCAAAAGTCGCCGGTGTTTCCCAGAGCCTCAGCAAGCCTCCACAGAGGATTGTGGGCTCTGGTTTCGAGATCGTGGTTGTTATGGCAATACAATCGTACCCAGTCCCTTCTCTTCCAATTTCTATATGATCCATTTCTAACGAAATAATTAAATAGCAATTTCTGCAATTATTGCTTATAACAACAGGTGGGCAATTTGTCGACGCTGACCAAAAATAGCGGCTCATTTCTTCTTGAGTTGCCATTTTCGCGTCGAAGAGCAAGACTTTCGGAGAATATTTTAGCTGTTTACTATCAAATATGTTTGTGAAACAGTTGATAATCTTACTGAGAAAGGCCAACGGTTTCTGAAAAGCTAAAGTACGTCGAAATCAGCTTTGGAATAGACTATATTTTCACCGGGGAAACATGAACAAAATGGATATTTACATCAACACTAAATTTTACTCGTGCCTACAGAGCTAGTTGGATTAAAACAGATGTTAAGAAGTAAGTGAAAATGTGAACTTTGTGAATTATACTTTCATTAAAATGTTTCAGAAGGAATGCTAATGTCAAACTACACGTGTGACAGAGCTGTCAGTATACCCATATTTCAATGTTTATGTTGAAATGAACCATCTTCTTTGAGGTATAGCTTAAAAATTAGGGTATGCTCATCACTTGAAACTAGCTTTAAATCAAAGTTTTATCTATAGTCTTTTTATTAGAATTAAAATCATTCATGGGAAAAATGTGCCAAAGGGTTGAAAATGCCCTTGTAAATATACACTATTTTTGACATGTTTGGGTTAGTATTTTGAAATGGTGTTCTGGAAGGAAAATATGTCTTTAACAATACTGGTTGACCCTTAAATTATAACTAGTGTTATGTAAATCACAGAAAATTGAAAAAAATCTGGTCCATACACAATAGTTTGGATTCTATGAGGTCCCGAATGTGGCTTATTTCAATGTTTAATCTGTTTACCTGGAAAAACATAGAAAATTTAATAAGTCAAGAATTTGACTATGCTCATCACCCAAAACCAGGTTTTTCTAATTGCTTTTTCACCTGGGTTTGTGGCAATACCAGTTATGCGACCACGAAAAATGCGCGCGGCACTTTTTTTGGACACTGAAGATGACAACATTTGATGTAGTTATATATTGCCATCCTCTTATCATAGTATAACTTAACTTATTTTAGTGAGTTTGTTAAAGAATTATGCTCACTATATGCCTGTAGTATCTAAGATTTTTTTCATAGCATCAGATGATAAATTTGAGTTCTGTTTTCTTTTATTTTTAGGTGATAGTATCTGTTCACATGTGTGTTGGTATCAAATTTTGCACAAGATTAAATTATTATTTCACATTCCTTTACTGAAATATCCAAATAAATGGAATATGACATCAAGCTGGAGGACTAAATCCTGTTTCCAAACTTGTTTTTGTAAAAATAGAAAATAACAACTTATTATGTGTTGTTCTAATAAAAACTATTGTTTGTGATATGCATATTTAATTTTTGAAATTACATTTCATTCCCTGTTAAAATGTGTACTAGGAATACTGAAATCTTTCAGATAAGCTAACAATACCTTTGAAACTTATATAGCCAAGTGCTCTATCTATTTCTGTTCGGATTAAACAAATGATGGGTAAAATATTAGATTAGATTTTTGCCAAAAAATGACCTTGCCTGTTTTCAAAGCATAAAAAGCAATAAAATAAAGCAAAAGTACACTTATTTTCAATTTAAAACCTTTGGAATGCATGGCTTAATGTTTTCCACTAAATATTACAAAGTTTTCGTTCATTAAAATGTTGTTTTATCAGCTTTAAAACCAGATAAATTCACGAAACACTCCTAATATATGTCGCCATATTGATTTTCGTCGCGCATGCTCAGACAAATTGCCCACCTGTTGCTTATAACTATAATATGTCTAGGTGTTGTGATCAGTTTAAAGCGTTATAACATGCAAACATCCTCTGCAAGAGGTCTACACGAGGAAATTTGTGAAAAGGAAGAAAAGAGACTGGAGACTAGTGTGTTGCCATGACAACCACATGACCTCCCAAAAATATTCATATGGGTGCACCCACTAAGTATACCAAGTTTCATTGAATTTTATTAAATACACAGCAAGATATCAGATTTTCTTGTTATTGCCACTATTTCGAGTCAAACTAATGACGTAACAACTCAAAATATAGAAAGTGCGATAACTTGGGAATGAGATGAGATACGAATAAACCAGGGCGCTTATAATAAACTGTAAAGGTCATTCTTCATCATTTGAGCAGTACCTTTTAATTAATAAAACAATAAAAAATGAGGCAAAAATTCCGTTTCCTAGGCATTTTTCGAATGCTGATCGAGTTTTTACGGACTCGTATATTTTAAAATGAAGAAATGTATTAAACTATCCGGAAAAAGTATCAATCGTAGATTTAAAATATGGTCGAGTGTACTCAGCATGACGATGCTAGAATTTAATAATGCTGGACTTATATATAATTATATTAGCAAAGATTGAGCCTAAAATATATAAAGAAGAACCAATAGAGACGCCGTCTTTCTCCTCGTAGGATGTTTAATGCAGTTGTGTGAATTCTTATTTATTCCCTTTCTTTTATCCTGTTGTTCGTTTGTCGTTATAATGCCACGGGCATGGGCATGGCGGAGGGATTTAATGGTAATCCTAAAAGACGTCTTATCAGCGAAGTCTTTCCACCTCGGCCTTGCCCGATTAGCATCATCGGAATTCGATTATATTTTCCTTTACCTTTTTCGAGAGCTTCCAAACCACGTATAGCCTCGTCCTTATCTTGACAAAATAAAGTTAAAACAAGATTTAGCACTACATAAAATGAAATATAACCTCAATCAAATTGTCCTCTATAAGGCGTTCCCCCTCTACCAAACGCCCTGCCCTAAACGTGTAAGATACTTTTTTAAAGTTTTTAAAACAAAAATTACGAATTTTGCTTAAACCATCACTCTGTATGTTCATTGTACATTTGTAGTTCTATACCTACTATTTTAAGAGGATTAAGGTTACGTGACCTCTTAGTGCAAGTCGCCTATTGTTAATTGGACCATTCTATTTTATTAGACACTAGGGGCGGCCGCTCGCCACCCCCACCCCCCCTGTCCGCCAATGTCTCAGGTTTAGGGCTGACAGCCCCAAATTGATTGCAAGGGTATACGGTGGAATTCTAAAGATTGAAGAAAATAGTCATTTGCATCTAAACCGAGGAGTTCGCGCTGAGACTGTGTTTACACATGAGACTTTTGAGGCAGGCTGGCTCATCAAAACAAACCACTGGACTCACTGCCATTAAATAGTATAATATAAATATATTTTCTCACAAACCTAAAATTTGCACTTTTGCGAGCAACTTTTACTGTAACTGTATAAGCCACAAAATCGTTCACAGAAACCTTTTAAGATCGAAATCTGACGAGAAATTCTTATTTACAACAATATATTCTTGTGAACAGAGCAATAAGACTTAGCTTGCTTATAAGCGAGCCAGCCCGGGTCATCGCGTTTGTATGGAAAATTCCCCAGCCTGCAAAGCACCCTAGATCTCGGGTCAGTCGAGGCTGGATCTCGCTTACAGGCTAGCCAGCTTGGTTCTTATACAAACGTCAAATGAAATTTTACAGGACATAATAACAAAAGCAAGATTTCACCCAAACCAGGCCAGCTTGGGTACCCCGGCTGGCTTGCCCCATCTCTCATAAGGGCATTTGATGTTTTAATCTGATCATGCAGCCAAACACATCTCCAATTACACAGTACAACTCAAGTTCTAAGCACGTTGCATGCGACAGTTTTGAACCAGGTTTCCATATATGGTTGTAACGATCATAAAAGATATAAAAGTTACGATGTTTCTCATCAGCCAGATTATAATTAGCCATTTGCCAATCGAGAAGACGACTGGGTCTAGTTGATGTTTGGAGGGACGTTTGGAGGGACAACAAGCTATAGTGAGCGAGCTAAATATATATTAAAAGATGCCTTATTATAATTGTTGCGTTTCAGGCTGCACAAATAACTTTAGGAATGTAGGAAAACTTCCTAGATGGCATATTCGGCATATTGTTTATTTTTTGTCCCTCCAAACAAGTGACTAGACCCGGTCCTCTGCACGATTGGGAAATGGCTACTAGTTTTTACCTATAAACCACATTGAAATGATACAATCGGCTGTTGAAAGAGATCGTGACTCAATCTTTACGACCGTTACGACCATATGGAAACCAGGCTATGGGCAAAAGTTGTGTAGTGTAAATTGGCCTTCAGACAGATAATGCATTACCCAACAATTTTAGTTACTTTAGATTTTAAATTTTAGTCACATAAAATTGAAAGATCTTTATTGGACGTCTATTGGTTGTCCATTCTTAGCAGAATAAAAGCAGAAACAAAGAAAAAAAACAACAGCTATTTAGTCTCATTGCACAATATGTTTAATTGTTTACTTCCCAGGTTGGAAAACTTGTATCAAATTCCTACGCGTAGCTGCGAGTGATTTGGCTTGATCAATTGCGAGCCGCGAGTGGACCTATAATCAGATGTGAGCTGCGAGCAAATTTAACCAAAGCCATCGTGTCAAAATAAAGGTTATTTCCGAAGGAAATTTTTTCGCGACGTTTTTACGATTATTTTCCGCTTTTCGACGGTTTGTTGATAAT